TCTAGGCGCTATTTTTTTTAAAGTTCTAGAATGTGCACTAAAAAGAAGCTGAGATTATTGCTAATTTGCATAACAATTCACTCAGTAAGAAGTTTCCTAATGCTCATAATTAAAATGGCTGTTACAGTTTCAAATTTAAATGTATTACCGTTTTGTAAAAAGTTAAATACAGTGCATAATATGGAGATCCCGTCATTTCTTTTCTTCACCATGTTTTCTTTTTTATTATTTATGTACAGCCTTGCTACATCTTGCTAAGCATTCAAAAGAGAGAATGTTTGCACCTGTTATCTATATTTTAAAATCGGTTTTGAGTATGTTCCACTATTCACAATTCTACAAAATTTCAACAGTCTATAGCCAAGACTTTTTGGATAATAAAAAGCAAAAAAAAAAAAAATTTCACTCCCAAGTGCCCATGAACCTGCATCTCTACCTTAAGTGATTACTGTACATCGGTTTAACACATTGACGACTGAAGCCACCATAGGTACACATAGATTGCTGATAACTTTTCTCTAAAGGAGTTTCAGCAAGCTATGTATAATAGGATATCTTACTTTGTGGATTTTTGTTCATCCCTTTGTGTTGGAGATGGCTTTTGTACAGTAGTGTACACATGAGTGAGTGTTTGATATAAATGCGTAATATTAGTACTATATGAAATACATTATGATGGAAGGTACAGACCCTTGATTATCTATCCTTGTTATATTCTCAGAATTCTTCAAGCCATTGGAGTCATCAGTGTATGGTCCACCACTGAAAGAAATTGCAGATGCATTTGGTGTTATCTCCAATATTGTGGGTAGAAACTCGATACAAATAACGGCAGTTGTTCAGAACAACCAAGATCTCTTTGATCTGAGTATACTGAGTAATTACAAAGAGTCAATCGAGGCGTTTGATAGATATGGTAGTTACTTTGCCAATCTCACCGCCATTGCAGTCTTCCAACATATCGGCACAAATTTAGGGTAAGTTGTTCTCAGGTGGGTGGTATTGAGTGTATTTATTGTATAACTATGGTTCATGTCATTTACTAGTCTGCTGCTAGTGTTGTGCATCATTGAAAGTTTAATCAAGATGTTTTTTGTTTCGTTTTCAGTGAATTTCTAGCAAAGCATGACACGTTGCTTAATGAATTGGTGGGAGAAGAAGAAAAACAACCAAACACTGTTGCTGCATTTCATTATGTTTTATTGTCACCTGTTAAGAGAATAAAAGAATACAGTCGATTAATTGGACAGATTATGCAGCACTTCTCACATGTAAGGGTAATAATCATTGGGAATTATGAAGAGTAGAAGATATTTCACACTTTGTTAGCAACAATTCCAAACTGTCTTTTCAAAGAAAAGTAATCTCAGGGGCAGGTATCCAGGCATTTCAACCATCTGGCAATCATCACCAGAGAAGAAAAAAACTCTTAGGGAATGGTACTTTGTGCTAGTTGTTGAGACTCCCCTGAACAGTAACAAGACTATCCATGTGCGTGTGCAACATATATAATTTTAGTTGCTCAGGATTATTTCAAAGTTGAGTTTGTTGCTGTTTTCTCAACTTTAGCTGCTTTCACCGGCTCATTGACTGGTGTTCCTCACAGTTGTGCACCTCCAAGCAAAATAGAACATTCTGTGTTGTAGCTCCGCCCAAGAATAGTTACAGTAGGCAATATATAGAGTAAAATTCAGCCGTTGCTCCTGCTATCTTGTGATTCTCCATGACAATATTTATATAAATCATATTCTTATTTGTTATAATGTGATTCAATCATACCCCTTGAAGTCAATTTGATTATCTTTGTATTACTTTTCAGAATACCGTTGAACACAGTCAGCTGAGAGAAGTTGGGTCAACATGGGAAACATTGAAAAATGTTATTCAAATTAGGTTAGGCGATGCAGAGAAAACCAAGGCATTCTGGGAAGGATGTCCCCCTAAGTTAGCGGTAAGTGTCTTTATTTTTCAATTTCACAAAAATTACTTTGGGTTGAATTTATTTATTATTTAGAAAATAATGCTTTATCAAGATTTCAGATTTGCACATTTTTACAGTTTTACAGATCTTGGAATTGTGTTTGGGAGACCCAAGTTCAAATCCTGCCGGGGATTGAACACCAAAAAAGTCAACCCGATTCATTCATTGACCCTGGTTAACGTCTGAGCCTGATTAATACTAGCATAGCCCATAATGATGGTCACACAGACCTGTCATTTAGTACCAAATATAAATATGGCATTTGTGGCAAAATATCCTATATTTCAGCTCTTGCAATTTGCTTATCTACCTCTCTGAATTTTGTGCTACTTTGAAATATTTAGTGATAAATTATTATTAATGGCTTGAAGCGATGAACAACCTTTATAATGGTGTTTGTTTTATGTCACAAGATACTATAATAAATAAATCATGTGAGAATTATCACTTCCGTTGTCATCTTATGATGTAATATTGTCACATGTCTATAAACAAATTTTAAATGGTGACAAAAGGGTAATGGTTGTAAAAGGGTTAGGCTCCTTGATATTAGATGATGATAAGTGATAAATGTCAGATTCTGTGGTTTTCTATACAGGAACAACTAAAGACTCCAGATAGAAGAATAATCAGAGATAGTAAAACGTTTACTCTCAATCTTGCCTCTGCATCTAGATTTTCGAGTAACTGGTTTATTTTATTTAATGACGTACTTGTTCATACCCAGGTAGGTATTTGTGTTTTCTGTCACATAGTGTTGATAGCAAAGATGTGGACGATGGTAGTTAGGTCTATCATAGCAATGCATTGTGGGATTAATGACAAATAGGTAGTATTGACACTCACTGGCTTGTGATTGGCTAGTTGATTAACACTCTGAATTGTGGTTGGCTAGTTGATTGGCACTCATAGCTGTGATTGGCTAGTTAATTGGCATTCTGGGTTGTGATTGGCTAATGCTGAGTTAGAACAATCACTGGTCGTGTAATGACAATACTGATCAAGTGTCGATATGAATCAGAGAATTGGTAATGATGAAAATAAGTTTGAAAAAATATTATTTACAATTTTATATTGATTCATTCCTCTTCGATTATATGCATGTATAATATTAAAAATGCACTCTGATATAATACTTTAAGGTAGAAGCCTACTCATAAATCTAAATTCACAGAATTTATTCATTTATTCATATTAACTTTACAAAATTGGGGGTCACCACCTTATTTTCAAGAAAATGACAGTTGTATTTCAGTGGATAGTTGCACTAGTATTATAATGCTTTTACCATGGGCAGAGATAATATGCCATATCTAAATTTGTTTTTTAAAAATCTGGGTTTTAAAAAATGTAAAAAAATGCATTTTTTCTTCAATATTGGAATTGTTCTAAAAAGTTTCTCAAAAAACATAACCATGTCACACAAAATAATGTTATTTCATGTTGCCATGGGACAATAGCTCCATAATATTACATAATAAACCAATGAACATTGTCATGTCATTTATGATCAACTTTCTCAAAAATTATGAGAAGGCTTCTACCTTAAGATTATTGTTATTATCGTATTATGTGACATATTTGATAAATATGCAGGAGATATTTGAGCAAATCAGCCATTTTACTGCAGGCTGGAGCAATTATAAATTACTGTAGAATACTTTATTTTCGCTTGGAATTTATTTTCGCTATTTTCGCTGAAGAGATGATTCCGTGAAAATAAAATCCAGCGAATATACTTTTTTTTCTATATTTCACATTAAACTCATGAAAAATCAGTGAAAATAAATTCCAAGCAAAATGCCCAAAAAGCCTTTTCAGCGAAAATTAATTCCAGCGAAAATAAAGTATTCCACAGTATAACATTTTTGAATCCACCTAGTTATAATATGATTCACAACCAATGAAATCAGTTCGGCTAAAAATATTGGAATCGATATGTTTACCACATTGCTTTGCTGAAAGCCCTGCATGAATAAAAAATGCATGAATAAAATTAATTAAAACAAACACCAGCATGGGATGTGTTATTATATATTTCACACGAATAACGATGAATTGAAAGTATATCAGAGTGCAGCTTTAACATATTGTTAATGTTTTGTGTGTGCCTCTGTTTAAGAAAGGTAGAAAGGCTCAGGCGAGTTCTTGATGTGCATGTTATTATGATACATGGTCAGATGAGTAGTGAGATAGGGTATTAAAAATGATTGCTCTAAGATAGGGAGGCTCGAGGAAAGAGTTCCTATTGGATCTCTAATTCAATTGTACATGTTTCCTCTAGATAGCTATAGGCGTCATTAGGAGTGGCATATGGGGAGCATTGGAGGATTAGATTTAAGGTTAGGGATGGGGATGGCAGCTCCAGCTCCAGCATCATGGTTAATCATTGATTATATATAATTATGGATTCCGTAAATTATGGGAAAGTGAAATTGTTGCCTAGCGATCCCTCTCTTGCAGGTGAACATAAAAAAATCGCGAGGGTAATTACCAATTGTATGTAAACCATTGTATGTGGTTTCTGTCTAATGCATTGTTGTTATTTGACTGTGAACAAGTCTATGATTCTAATGTCGTCATTAGAAAGGATTTGGGATTGACAAACATTATGTTAAAAAACATGGGTTAATTATTAACATCGCCTATATGACTGACACCTTAATATAGAACAGCTTTCATAATATATCTGATGTGGCCCCTGCAGTTAGCTCAATTCTCTGTACAACACTGCACCAATGGTATAATTGAAAGAATGAAGCTATTATACTGAACTTTAGTTTTATTGCTTGTTTCATCGATATTTGACATAACTGAACACTGACTATAACACACACCTTTGTATTTCGCAACTTTTCGATCTGTGGCTGTCATCTTTACTTCAACCTCATTACTGTCACATTGAGATCTGTATCTGTCTCTTTTGAAGTGGCTTTGTCGTCAGAACTGGGCAGTCAACTATGATTGGTTACAACCAGCAGTTTGGGAATCTTTTACTTACTATAGGCATACATGTGTTTTCGGAGGCTGCATTCCTGATAATTACTAATTTTGTCTTCCCTTGCTTAGGTTTTTGAGTCAGTGCAAATCTACTTACAATATTGTGCCTGATTGGCTACCTAATCCTAACAGCTAACCAATCAGGGAGCAGCTTGTATTTGATTAGATTTTTGAAATATAGATGTGACATGCATGCTGGCATTTGTACTCAGTAACTAATCAACAACCTGATTTAGAAACATCTGTAAGCGTTGAAACATGAAGCACCAATCAATAAATTTACATGCGATTCCTGTGGACTTCAAAAAAATTACTGCTATTAACTGGTAGTGATTGTCTTTTCTGTTGCACTGTTAGAAAAAAGTACTGATAAATGAATTGGAATAGAAACCAATTTGAAGTTTTCAGAATTGAAAAATTTGTAATTTAGTTCACTGATGGTGTTGATGTGACTGAACTTTACAAATTAAAAGTAAATAAGAAATTTGAAAAGTTGCTCTGTAACCCTTTACAAAGCTTTACAGTACAGTTATTTTGCCTTGCAAGTAAAAATGGTTATCATCTGTATTAACCATTTCAGCACCAAACTCAATTTCAATCACCATCCACAAAATAGTTATATTTATAGTCTGCTCGTTTTCAAATGAAATTTGTGAAAATTTCAATTTTTTTGAATAAAAACTAAAAGTAATGTCGCATTTTGTTTAAGTTCAAAATTAAAATTGAATTCAGTCAAAATTACAGAAAATATTGACAAATTCACCCAAATTTGAGCGGGGAAAAAATTTAGTGGGTAAAGTAACAGTAGCTTTCAATACTTTTGTCAGATTTTGTGTGAGAAATATTGCTATTAAACATTTAAACGTTCCTTAGAACAGGAACATCTTGGTTGGTTTTATCAATTTTTTTATTTTTATGCAGACATATCTTCTGTGTACGCCATAGTTGAAATGTACATGTAATGATGCATTGTTAAACAATGAAGTTTGTAATTAATCATCCTCCCTTCTGACGACGAGGTTACTTTAACGTTTAAACTAACATCACATATTACTTCTCAACCTTTTCTAAGCATGGCGGCAAGAGTGGGATAGCTAAGCCGGGCGGAAAAGATCAGGTATTTTCCCATAATTCATTGTATCATTACATTGTACATGCCTGACCTCTTGAGATTGTTTATCTAATCTGTGGTGCTAGCTTTCCTTATCTCGGCACAGACGATGACTTCTTTTTTTTAGTCAGTCTTCAGTATATTAACATATTAGAGGCAATATAAATGTTGTTTCGTACGTTATGGGAAGCATACGATGCAATGGTTACCTGTGTGTAGTAAAACTTGTTTAAACCGAGCCCGTAATCAATTTTGTACTCAGCATACAATCTTGGTCTCTAGCAGTGTTCGGTCTAGACAAGTTTAATTTTATACATATGTACACACTGCAACATGTAATATATTGGCATGCGATTTAAATTCAACTTATAATTATGGAATGTACACTGAAATACACTGGTTTTAAGATACCCTTGCTGCTGGAAATGAGCTGCTTCCTGTAAAATTGCTTTGCAGTCTACTCATAGCTTGGCTGCAACTTGCGTAACTATACATGTCTGATCACCTGAATGCTGCCCCAACCTGAGTACGCATGCTAATACAATGTATTTTAATACACTGTCATTACTTGTGTTATTTTTGACTCCAGTTGAGACAAAGCTCAGACATATTAAGGTGTTTTTTCCACTCAGTTTTGAAATGTAACTTTGATGCGACTGGTGCCCTGCCTACATGAGTTCATTCAAATTAAGTTAGGGATTGATTTTACACCAGTCTGCGTTATCTCTTCCCTACATTATGTTGTATGCATCCCGTCCACTGCTAAACATTCATTGGTTTTGTATATGTACTTATGTACAATGTATAGCAGTGAGCTTTTGTCCTGTCAGTGTGTCCTACTGATGTTGCTATATGTTATCTTTAGCTATGTGTAGACTGTCAACAGTCCCTCTGTGATTCGTTTTCTGAAGGCCTTTCAAGCAAGGGCCATATTAATGGCCGAGGGACTGTCAACAGTCCAGTGTTTTACTTACTGTTTTGCAAATCACAGATGTATGTGTGTATGTAAAATAATTACAAGTGTACCTCATTCTTTATAATAATAAATCACTATGTTGCCTAATTACTGACTCAAAACATATTCTTAAAAATTTCAGAAAATTATGCACTAAATATTAATTAATGAAATGTAAAACATAATTTTGGACTGAAAAACGATACACAGAATAGTAGACATATGGCCGATTATATTCTATTCTTCTGCGTTTTCACAATCTTTCCTTTGAACATGAACACCAAATACAAAATTTGGCAGTCATAATCACAACTGAAATAAACACATGTTCTGTATTCAAGATGCCAAGAATTGATGCTGATGGCTATGAATAATTGAAAGAATCTTGAGTAGTAGAACAGTGACATTTAATTTAATACATGTTATATACCAATTACTATGCTTCACCAATTTACACCTAACATTACCAGTGATTATCAATTAAAATTAATCTTCTCAAAGTAAATAACAATTCTCATTTCAAATTCAGTCAAAATATTCCAAACTTTTGACAATGCCAAATGTAGTGTTAAAGAAACAGGTTATTTTGGACGTAAGTAATGAATAAGTTTATATTTTGCTGAGGGGTCTTGACTCCCTTGTATGTCATCATTATCATCGGTATAAGGTTTAGAAATGGGTGGGTATTATCAGTAGCTGTTCTCGCTTATAATCGCTACGAACGATCATGCCCTTTTTCAGGAATCATTAAAATCAGTTTCTCAGTCTGACACCTTTTCTAGAAGACAACTTGCTTGCCTGCTGTTCCAATAGTCTGCTTTTGGTTTCATAACACTTTGCAGAGCTATATGCCACGTCATTGATTCCTAGTTACACTGCTAGTAATATCTCATTACCAATTATAATTTATGCAAATACATCATTAGCATCTTGTGACATGAAAATGTGATTTGTTTATTTGCCAATTTAAATGCTTTCACATATTTCTCACATTTGCACAATCTCAGCGCTTACTTTCATAATTGTATAATATGCAAAAATTATTTGTTTTATTCATAATTGGTGTGCATATTTTCATACCATTTATCATAATACATTGATGTTGAAAACAAGCAGTGTTCTTTAAATAGCTGTGTGGCGCCTAAATCAATTCCTAACCAATCACGAAAGACAAGTGAACAGCAAGAAGTGACCAATCACAGTAACTGTTATATATCATGAATTTTGATGTTTGCATCACAGTGATAGGCTGTAAGAATTTTCTAAAGACAACTGGAACATTCCTCTTCTTGATAAATTCATGAATTTTTTTTTCAAGCTTCTGAAATAAATACATTTGCATTTATTGGTGCCTTGGCTACATGTTGCATGTCTCGTATCAGGTTATTGCATGCCTAATTTGAAAGCATGTTTGAATTTTTATGACAGAATATCATGAATTTCTTTGCTATGTCACTGTGGAATGATTTAATTTCATATGCAATATATTATGTAACTTGGCTAAATTAAATTTTCTTACATTTTCTCATAAAATAAATATAAATTCCCAAGTAAAATAAATTGTTCTACAGTACACAGACTTGTTGCATAATGTTCTTATTTCAGATTTGATAGCTTTATGTGGCTGACAGTGAACAATCTCAATTGGCTGACAGTAAACTATTCTAATTGGCTGACAGTAAACTATTCTAATTGGCTGACAGTAAACTATTTCAATTGGCTGACAGTAAACTATTCTAATTGGCTGACAGCAAACTATTTCAATTGGCTGACAGTAAACTATTCTAATTGGCTGACAGCAAACTATTTCAATTGGCTGACAGTAAACTATTCCAATTGGCTGACAGTAAACTATTCCAATTGGCTGACAGTGAACTATTCTAATTGGCTGACAGTAAACTATTTCAATTGGCTGACAGTAAACTATTCTAATTGGCTGACAGTAAACTATTTCAATTGGCTGACAGTAAACTATTCCAATTGGCTGACAGTAAACTATTTCAATTGGCTGACAGTAAACTATTCTAATTGGCTGACAGCAAACTATTTCAATTGGCTGACAGTAAACTATTCCAATTGGCCGACAGTGAACTATTCTAATTGGCTGACAGTAAACTATTTCAATTGGCTGACAGTAAACTATTCTAATTGGCTGACAGTAAACTATTTCAATTGGCTGACAGTAAACTATTCCAATTGGCTGACAGTAAACTATTCTAATTGGCTGACAGCAAACTATTTCAATTGGCTGACAGTGAACTATTCCAATTGGCTGACAGCAAACTATTTCAATTGGCTGACAGCAAACTATTTCAATTGGCTGACAGTAAACCATTCCTAATGGCTAACTCTAAACTATTCCAATTGGCCAACAGTAAACCATTCTAATTGGTTGACAGTAAACTATTCTAATTGGCTGACAGCTAACTATTTCAATTGGCTGACAGTGAACTATTCCAATTGGCTGACAGTGAACTATTCCAATTGGCTGACAGTAAACCATTCCTAATTGCTAACATTAAACTATTCCAATTGGCCGACAGTAAACTATTCTAATTGGCTGACTGTAAACTATTCCAATTGGCTGACAGTAAATTATTCTAATTGGTTGACAGTAAACTATCCCAATTGGCTGACAATGAGCTGTTCCAATTGGTTGAAAGTAAACTATTCCAATTGGCTGATATTAAACTATTCCAATTGGCTGACATTAAACTATTCCATTTGGCTGACATTAAACTATTCCATTTGGCTGACATTAAACAATTTCAATTGGCTGACAGTAAACTGTTGCAATTGGCTGACAGTGAGCTGTTCCAATTGGCTGACATTAAACTATTCCAATTGGCTGACATTAAACTATTCCAACTGGCTGACAGTAAACTATTTCAATTGGTTGACAGTAAACTATTCCAATTGGTCGACAGTAAACTATTCCAATTGGCTGACGGTAAACTGTTCCAATTGGCTGACAGTAAACTATTCCAATTGGCTGACAGTAAACTGTTGCAATTGGCTGATAGTGAGCTGTTCCAATTGGCTGACAGTATACTATTCCAATTGGCTGACGGTAAACTGTTCCAATTGGCTGACAGTAAACTATTTCAATTGGCTGACAGTAAACTATTCCAATTGGCTGATATTGAGCTATTCAAATTGACTGACAGTAAACTATTCCAATTGGTTGACATTAAACTATTCCAATTGGCTGACAGTAAACTATCTCAATTGGTTGACAGTATACTATTCCAATTGGCTGACAGTAAACTATTCCAATTGGCTGACAGTAAACTATTCCAATTGGCTGACGGTAAACTGTTTCAATTGGCTGACGGTAAACTGTTTCAATTGGCTGACAGTATACTATTCCAATTGCCAGATGGTAAACTGTTTCAAGTGGCTGACAGTATACTATTTCAATTGGCTGACAGTATACTATTCCAATTGGCTGACGGTAAACTGTTTCAATTGGCTGACGGTAAACTGTTTCAATTGGCTGACAGTATACTGTTCCAATTGGCTGACAGTAAACTGTTCCAATTGGCTGACAGTAAACTATTCCAATTGGCTGACAGTATGTTTCAGTTTTCGGCAGTAATGACTTGGCATTTTGCTTTTTTGAAAATTGTAATATGAAACAACAAACTGTCTGACAATCCTCAGTAGCCTCTACCTATCCAATTAACAAGCCTATATGTCATGCCTATATATATATATTTTTGTATAGTGTAAAGCACTACGATTCAGCAACATTTGGGAAATTCGGCTACATGCATGTACATGTTCGATTTCATTTGAAATTGCTTTGTACATCGCAAACTTATTTCACAAACATACAGTAAATCATTTAGATTTCAGGAGAGACTTATTTTTGTTATTCAGTGAAATTTGTCGCTCTTTGTTCCTAAACACAGAGTTGACGTTTGTTCAGTTTTTCGGCTTATCAGATTACGTTACTTCAAACCTGTTTTTTTTGTAGTGAAATCTTGGTTTATAGCAAATGAATACGTACAGCGTTATTTCACCAGCCTACGACTAGGACAAAAACAAAATGGCTGACATTTCAATGATTCTAAGACGTTCATGTATACATGTATTACGCTGAATACCTTAAATGATCTATCAAATCAGCATAAGAACAAATTCAGTTGACGTTTTGTTGCCGCATTGATAAACTTAATTCAGTAATTTATTTTTAATTTCAGTCATTTTCTTCACATCTGTCGTATCCACTGGCAACAGTATGGGCTGAAGCTGTACCTGACTCGGATCAAGCACAGTAAGTTTTGTTATTTGAAATTTATTGCAGTACAATGAAACCTTTCTCAACCAAACAAATATCGAAAAGACTGAAAACAATAGTCCGATTTTTGATGTAAAGAATGTTTATGGAGGAAGGTGAGGGTAATGTTCAGTTGGAAAGATTCCTGGTGTGCACTGGCTCAATGCCTCACACGTGTACCAGTTTTACCATAATGTGTGTATTTCTAACAGCATCTATTCTATTAATGTTGTGTATCCCTATCAATTCACATTCAATAGTAAAACTATAGACTGAGTTACTTCTATAGTGTTTTAATAGATTCAGAATGCACTGATAGTAAACATTTTCAGGTCTGTTTTTTTTCACTACCTTCCCAGGTAATGCTATGTTGATCTGAACAGTTGTTTACGTTTATTTATTTTTTTATATTGAGAAATATTTTATTTTCTTAATATAAAGTGAAAGGTTTACATTATTTGTGTGTAGCAAAAACTCATAGTGGATTAAAACTGTCTATAGAAAACTAATCTTAATCAATTGAAAGAGAAATATGCATGTTCTATTTTTTTTCAGACAGTACAGTAAACTTTTTTCTAATTTGTTAAAATTTAATTATATAAATACTTAATTCTTAATTTCTGTTTAGATCAATGTAACTTCCTGTTGAATTCTATACATCTGACTGAGATGATTTGATTTGCATCATTTCTATTTTACTTATTTCTTTTAACAGAGAAACTGACACACCCAGCATGAAGGACAATGACACACCAAAGTCATCTAAAAACCAAACGTAAGACTTATCATAGTGTTGAAAAGCACAGTACATCCATAATAGCCTCCCTTCCATAATACTAACAGCCACTGCTTCTCATTTTGCTGTACATACAGAAAGCATCAAGTTTAAATGAGTCTTCCTAGTTTCTTTCCAGTGCCTTCTTCAATACTTATGAAATTACTCTTTCTTTAAAGCTTTCATGTACATTCATTTGATATTTAGGTGGCCTGTTAAATTCTTAAACATTTCCTACATGGAAAAGAAAAAATGCAGTAACCCCGATACGAATGTGTAATCTTAATTGCCAAACATGCAACTACACAGTATGTCTAGATTTCAAATTCAGCAGACTTCCACAAAGTTTGGTTTGTCTGAAGTTATTGTGTTCTTGATGGTGAAAAGTTCATTTGATTTCTTCGTTTAGCTTTACATGTATTTATTACCAATATTTTAAAAACATTAATCTGTATCTTTTATGATATTTTGAAATTCAGTTGGTTTTAACTTCACATAATAATGAATTCTATTGTAAATTTACATATTCATGTGGATTAAATTTTTGATTGTTTTAATAAGTTAGTGTTGCTGAAGAAAGATATTTTGAAAAACAAACTCAGAAATAAACTAATATGACACACTTTTTTTTTGTTCAAGAAGGCCGTAACAACCTCTCTATAACAACTTCAGCGATCTAGTGCAAGTTCACCATCTGTTTTAAATTGCACACATTAAAATAACTTGTTTCTCCCTTGTTTTAAAGATTTTCTGTCATCTAATCTGTTAACTTTATAATGTTACACAGCTTACCAACTATGCAAGCTTTCAGGAGATTCACATTGCCGTAGTAACTGACAAAGCATACATTTTATCACTACCATTGATTTCTCTAACCTTAGCTATAGAAATACCCCTAGTAAACCCACAAGTACTAATTTTCATATTTGCTTTTCAGCTCTAACACTCTCTCATTGTGCCTTATTTTGATTTCTTCTACTGTGTGTGTGATATTCTCGGGGGCGAACAGCCAGACATTTTTATCGCCTTGCAACCATCATGGTGAAAAAAAATGTAGAAAATTCTCAGAAAACTGCACTTTAGGATAGTTGTTGAAACTCCCCTGAACAGGGTAACCAAATTACCCTTACATATGCAACATATATAAAATTGGTTGCTTAGAATTACTTCAAAGTTTATGCTGTTTTCATCGGCTCTTCGACAGGCGTTTCACAGCAGCTCACCCAGAGCCCATAGAAATACATGGTAGAGTGTTGCGCGTCTTAGCAACGTGGAATGTTATGTGATGTAGCTCCACTCCTCAGAATATTACTTTTTTGCCAAGATTTTATTCCATCAATCTTCCCTTGTGTAAGGATGCAATTTAGATTATCATCCTGGATAAACATTAGATATATATGGATGGAGATGTGCTAAACATTGAGGGGGCTAGTTAGTTTGAATCTGGGGCTATACAATTTTCCCAATTTGTTCTCAGGAGAATGTTCATTTGAATTGAATTTAAAGAGGGACACTGTAATTGTGTTGGCGTGACATGATATAGTTTGTGTTCATGATGACTAATCTTAACGAAAGTCACTATGATACTTTGGCTCACTCATCAACAGATTCACTTGGCCATAACTATAGTGTTGTGCCCTGCATACAAAAGAAAACCTCAGGCAAGGGCAAAATTATTCACTTGACCATGTGACTCTCTGTTAAAAACCACAGTGTTAATGCTACAAGACTTTCTTGCACAAAGTTAGAGCATCTATAAAGCAGATATAAAGTCCCTCAGATGATGTTTCTTAAGTGACCATTAATAATCACTCATTATAAAATTTAATCATATTTCTCAGGCATGCTATTCAATTGAATATGCCAGAAGCTTCTCTCTTGGTGAGTGCGCCCTCATCTGCTCATAAAAAAGAATGGTTATGGGCTATTAACCAAGCTATTGATACAATTCTAACCAATCAGAAGAAGGAACAGAAAAAGGACTCTACAGTCCCTGTCATCACACCACCACCAGCGCAGCAGAAAACCGGAGTGGTGCCGCCGCTGACGAGACATGGAAAGCATGTCTTCCAATCTGGTTCAAAATATAAAGATGCCACTTATGATGGACTGTGGTTGTCTGGGAAACCACATGGCAAGTACGTTGGATTTCATAAATCAGTTTTAGAAACAATGATAATCTGATAATTGTCAGGTCATGATTGATTAAAGTCAGATTTAATAATGATACAAATATGTAAAGCATGGATAAAACCATATTTTCTCTCATACTGAAGAAAATCCAAAAAATGTTCTCCACTACACAAAAATTAAAAAATCTTATCATGTTTTGTTGACAATAGGAAATTATGTTATTTGTTTCAAAAATAATGATAAAACTACCATAAAAAAAATGCATAAAAATGTGCAAAGTATTACTCCAAATTTGGAGTTGAAGAGCGGCGGTTCTTGCCGTCATGCCATGCCGCGTTCAATATCGAACCCTTAGCGACGTATACAACATGGATAAAATATATTATTTATTCACACAAAATACAAATGTCTACTGCACAACAACCACTGCTCTTTTAATATAATGTAGACTTGCAGTGAGTTGTACTCTTATAGCAGTACCGTAAATCATTGCAGACAAATATGAATGGAAGAATGACCACTCACAGTGTTTATACTGTTTACGTCTACGTCAGTCTTTCTTAGTAATGTTTTTGCGATACCATCAACAAAATCAAGTTGTTGCTATAACTCATAATTTCTACATTAGTGATACATTGACTGAACTCTTAAATATTATGTCATAACAGGGGTATTATGGTATGGCCGGATGGTAGCAAATACACTGGTAAATATATACTTGGGTTACAACAAGGGTAAGTTGCATTTATATTTCATATTTAATTTATTAGCTGCTGAAGCCATTCTTTTTAATTTATTTTGGCTATCCATGGAGGTTTTCAACAAGCAATGTGTTAATAATAATAATAAACATTGCTTCATTTTACAAACATTCTGGTGTTCATGGAATGATTGATCGAGTATATTGTATCTAAATTTTCTATGACCTTCTATCACTACAACTTGTCACTCTGGAATTCTAAACTTGCGTAAATATGTTGTACATGTATATGATTGTGTACATGTATGAAAAGTGCTTCACTACTTAAATTTTCCAGATTATATTTTTTTCCAGATCTTTCTAATGATTGTTTGTATTGGTGTTTCAGTCATGGTATGTATATCATTCCAGCCAGTGAGGCTGGTAAATCAGATTATATGTACGATGGACAGTGGTTGGAAGGAAAGATGCATGGTGCTGGTATACTCAGGTCAGTACAGGTCAATCTGTATAAAACTATTCCTAGAACAGCTATATTATAATTTTATTAACACTTACACATTCCCCAGAGGGATTGGCAATGGTTACAAAAGTTTAAGAAGGAATAAAAAGTTACAAAACAGTAAATAGATAAAATAAAACAAACTAAGGTAATACATTACAGAGAATAAAAAATATTAAGATTATATTATAATACTACAAAAGAGAGAAAACAAAATGCAAAACTTAAACTGTGAAAGAAGATTGTCACTGGGGTTGCTGTCTTATTTCAAAACACTTCTTTAGGTACCTTGCTACATATTAGTAGTTGAATGGAACCATGACAACATTTTTCGCCTTGATTGCATAATTACATCATTTTTGTCTTTCCAAGTGTTCTCTCACTCAGAATTTTTTTATTCATGATTGTGTATTGGTTATACTTTTCCCAGTCTTTCTCAATTTACATTGTCAGTTCTCTTATTCAGCCTCTTTATTTTACTCAAGGTCGCTTAGATCATCTTAAAAAGCATATGAGATCGATAACCACTGTGTCATTAAGTGTGGACTGAATATATCACTGTCATTATCGCAGTATTATTTATATTATTGTTACAGATATCACAATGGTGATATCTATGAAGGTTATTTCAAGGAGAACCAGCGTCATGGACACGGTATGCTACGATGCGGCAGTCTGACCTCCTCTGCACCTAGTGTTTATATCGGTGAATGGGTCAACGACAAACGCTATGGTTACGGTGTTATGGATGACATCAATAGAGGTGAAAAATACATGGGAATGTGGCAGGATGACTATCGTCATGGCAATGCACTGGTAGTAACGTTGGATGGAGTGTATTATGAAGGGACATTCATGCACAACAAACTTTCTGTAAGTGGTGACATCATATTTTTCCATGTATTGTATATAATAATAATCTTATAAAGTCCCATATTAGCACTGTGATATTCATAATATCCAAATAATATTTAAGGGCGATGGTTGTGACGCCATGTTCGATATGGGACTCATAGCGAGGTATACATTGTGTGTAAAATGCATTGTTTATTTACATAAAAATTCAAACAAGCACTGCGTGTCGAATATTACTTCTTAACTCCATTGCTATTTCTACTTGTTGGGTCAGATGTAACAACAACTAAATTTATCATAGCATTCAGACGAATTTCAGTGCCAAATAATGATTGGAGATTATCTACAGTTTTTTCAGTGTGGGAAAAACTGGTTAAAAGCAGTTTTATTATATTGTTAGTCTAATTCTATACATGGATTATAATTTCTTCAAAATGTTCATACTTTTCTGCAGGGTGTTGGTTTGCTTGTGACGGAAGATGGTACTTGTTATGAAGGAGAATTGGCAACTGGTCCAACCCTGAATGGAAAGGTATTCACACTCAAATACATGTGTAACAGTAGCTGTGTATAATTATGTAGTAACTGGTTGTTTGAGCACTGATTGAAAGTAGAAAACCAAATATATGATAGGGTTATATGCCAAAGTGGAAATAACATAACCAACCATAGATTTTAAAACAAAAATTACATAGGAAAATGTACAAGTCCAAGAACACAAAACAAATGACTGACAACAATTGACGAATCATTCCACAAGAACAAAAGGATTGAGTTTGGATGGGGAAGTTAGTTTTATCAAGTGAAATTGTTTATATTGCAAATCATGCCATCCATCTTAGAATATTATTGCCTCACCTGTATTAAAATAGAGGGAGTATGTAATAGTTGTCGTTGTTGTCATCGTTAACACGTCTCGTGGTCTCACTTGTTTTAACACAGCCTTACTTTTATATAACAGGGTGTGCTGCGTCTTCCTAATGGTGACTTTATTGAGGGTACATTCACTGGTTTATGGGGAGATGGAATTAAAGTGAACGGTAATTTTAATAAGGCACCACTTGAGACACCTGACTCTGCACGTGTGTAAGTATATATTCAACAGCAGCAGTTCTTTTTACCTCCTCTGTTTACCAATAATACTCATCTGTGTAAGCTGCCTTATTTCTAGTGCAGCCAAAAATATTCTAAAGTTATTGGCCTCATCTGAGAACAATAATTCGAGATTTTGCTTGAAGCCAAAGACAATAACTGTTTAATATTCAGAAACAGAACAGCAAGGCTATAATTATATACTAGTATATTGTAAGCAAGGTAAAACTGTGAGCCAAGATACAAACTTGCTGAGTTGAAATCAAAATTAGTCCCTTAGTGGAAATGCACATATCCATCTTGTTAAGTGTCCACTGGCCGAGATTCATTCACTATTTAAATGAATGCGACTTTGGGTGAACCTTGGTTAAGGTACTTGTGTTTGACCTAGCCTGGTTGACCCCAGGATAGTGCATTAAAATTGCCATTTGATGAGGGAAATGCCTATGTGTCAGCACTAGCACTTGTAATTTGCATATAAAAAAAGTCAGGAAAGACAACAGTGACATTCAATGTCGCCAACTGCCTCCTTGCACAAACAATTTAAAAAAAAAAAGTTTCCCAAATGTTATGACAACAGGCCACTACATGCAAATTGACACGAGAGACAAGAAGCCAATATTAAATGCTGGGAGAAGCTAATATTAAATAATCATGTGACTGCTTTTGACCAATAACATTGACTGTTTTATAATCAAGAGATAATGATGGGGGATGCTAATCCTTGGATATTTTTGAAATGATTAAATATTTTTTTACATTCAGATTTTTTGTATATATAGAGGAATGAAATTATGTAGTAATCAGTCAATACAAATCTAAGTGTAATTATTTAATTTATTCTTACTTTGCATGCTCATGCTTCAGTACCAGTGGTCAGTACGTTGTGGAGGCGGAAAACAAATGGGAAGAGATCTTTACTCACTGTAAGAGTACGCTGGGCTGTCATGATAAAATAGTACCAAGTCCTCATAAAGCATGGGAAGCAGTTGCTGTGGCTTTGAGTGCTGGAAAGCGAGGACAGTTGGCTAACAGGTATTGTGTGGTGATTTATTTTACAAGTACAAGTTGTGTAACAGTTTTGATTTTCATTGATCTTACTGATAATCTTTGTTTGGTTCGTTGAGGTGAAGTCAAGAAATATTAGCTTCAGTATAAATTAGCTGATCATTTTATTTTGTAACTATTAAAAAAATCCACATTCTGCTTTCAGCTAGAATGCTTTATATATCATAGATTTTTGCTGTGTCTCGTTATTCTAATTCACTGATCATTGTCACAACAGAAACTTGTAAATATTGATATAGGGAGCTTGAAAAAACATTTACATAATTTATAATTTGTTATAATGTAATTCACATTTAAAAAAAAAAATGAATAAATACAAAAGGAATCAGGGCCACAACATTTCACGCCACCTATATTGTATACAGTAACATACAATTTCATTTTTTGCTTGAAGACCCCTCCTTCTAGAAATTTCTGGGGACTTCATTTTTACCTCAAAAAATGGAACACTGCATTAGCTATAGCATTCAATAAATTTAATATGAGTTGAGTCAGGTGAGATACAGAAATGAGAAAAAGGAGAGTCTGAATTTTTGAGGGCGCCCTCTTGATGATGACATCTTGGCAAATTTAACAAGAACTTTACAATGTGTTATTCTATACAAACCGCAATATGTAATGTGTTCTCAAATCATATTTGTTATCAGTACTTGGTGTTATGAATTATGCAATAATTTCAAAATCGAATCTTTCACAGTAATGATGTACAAAGCAAGGAAGGAGCAGGAAGTATAGACAGATTAGAGAGAATACCAGTGTATGATATGGATACGATTTCAGATGAAGACTACGTTGCGATTCAAAACTACTTAGAAAAGGTAAATAATGACTAGACTATTATTGCTTGAGAGCAAAGAGGGATCAAAAAGAAATGTTCATTTATTGGGAAAAAATAAGCAAAAGCTTAAGTTTATGTGAACCAAATTAAACTATTTTATTTTCACTCAGAATTTATTTACGCTTTAATTTAAGACCTCTTGAATACCAAAAAAATTCTTTTTGTGGTTTCTAGTAATTTGAGTTTATCTATATTGTGCAGAATTAGTTATAAGGTTACGATATTTATTCATACTTGTTTATTTTTTGGTGTTTTTTTTCAAAAAATAAAATATGGGAGTGTATAAATGGTGAAAACCAGGTTACCGTGAAATAAACAAGAGATTTGTGACCTGAGCATTTTGATAACGTCATAAATTTGAATGGGTAGTGCATGCAACATTCTCTTGGTATTCTTGAAGCGATGTATAGCCCAGTATCCTAGTAGTCTTTTAATGCCATCATAAACAATCTCAAAGAATAATGTAATATTTCAATTTAGGTGTACCCCAGACCATTCGTCCCGGTGTTATCGCTATCGCCACACGAGACTCCAGCTTGTCTCCTATACAATTTTCCTTCCGCCCACTTAATTTTAATATTCATATGACCTTTGCACTGACATCGATAGCCAATCGCATTCGACCGCGGACGTCACTCTAAATAAACAACTGAATAAATTAATATACCATATTTGGAAGATAGCGAGTAAATTCAACGTTGTTGGTGTGTTCCTTCGGGTTCCGAAGTCGCACGAAACGAGTTCATGTTCCGTTATCTTTCGCAAGTAAAACAGGTCGATATGTATTAAACATGGCATTTGTTTTCTTGTTTTAACCCCCTTATTACGCAAGCTTCCGT